AATATACTAGACCTATTGCTTATAGTATCTGAGATATGGACTTGACCACCAAAACTTAACCTTGTTCACTGATCCATGAAATGAGGTCGAGGTCAAGTGAAAACTGTCTGACGGGCATGAGGACCTTGCAAGGTACGCACATACCAAATATAGTTATCCTATTACTCATAATAAGAGAGAACTTAACATTACAAAAAATCTTAACTTTTTTTTCAAGTAGTCACTGAACCATGAAAATGAGGTCAAGGACATTGGACATGTGACTGACAGAAACTTCGTAACATGAGGCATCCATATACAAAGTATGAAGCATCCAGATCTTCCACCTTCTAAAATATAAAGCTTTAAAGAAGTTAGCTAACGCCACCGCCGGATCACTATCCCTATGTCGAGCTTTCTGCGACAAAAGTTGCAGGCTCGACAAAAATCATCATTATAGGGGAATAACTCTTTTAAGAGCTAACTGACAATTTAAGTCATGTTGACATATTTATAGATCTTATCCTGCTGATCAGTTTCCTCATTAAAGTTTCTATTTATCTACTTGTATTTTAGTTTCGAGATAATAGGCAAAACACACAAAAAAATGGTAAAAATTATCGTTAATCATGTTAATGAGCAATAACTCCAATAATGAGACAACTGAATGCTTTATGTATGTGGCTTATTTCAATATTTGAAGATTTTGTCTTGCTGATCATTTTTTGCTATTTAAAGTTTTGATCTACCAGTATCTTTTATTATTTTCAAGATAAAAGGCTTATCAATTTAGCTATCTAAATTTTTTATCAATCTATTTTAGTTTTCAAGATAATAGGCAAAATTGAAAAAAAATAATGGGGAAAATAGTAATTTAAGGGCAATAACTTTAATAAGGTGTCAACTGATGATTTTGATCATGTTGATTTATTTGTTGATCTTGTCTTGCTGATCATTTTTGCTACTTAAAGTTTCTATCTATCTATTATATTTTTCAAGATAATATGCAAAAATGCACAAAAAAAAAAGGGAAAAATTGTCATAAAAAATGTGTCAATTGATGATTCAGATCATGTTGATGACTGACATCGACAGTCGACGGACACCAAGTGATGGGAAAAGCTAACATGGCCCTTCAGGCCAGGTGAGCTAAAAAGGGAAAACAGGAATTACCAAAAATTATGCAGAGTACAGCCTCAGTACAACAAATCACATCAACCACTAACTTCTTCGAAAAAATAGACAAAGATTTATATTTGTTAACATCCTCTTTATTTGGACTGTGGTGAATAGTTGCTTCATTGGCAATCATACCACATCTCCTTGTTTTTATAAAGACAGATAACAACTAACAATACATGGAGCAGATATCCTGATTTGGTACAGACTTAAAATGTTGTGGAAATTATGGCTGTTATTGTTTGCTTGTTTGCTGTCGAAATGATTGTAATTCCTTTGTAGTACAAGAAAATAACTTGCCAGAAGATTTCACTAGTTTTCATCAGAAACATTTATAACCAAAACCTTGAAGAAAGATTTATAAGCTGCATGCTACATCTATTTACATTTTGTTAGAGCTATTTTCCTAATGCTTGTAGTTTAAAGGTTTGGTCGGCTTGCTTGCTTTGTTAATATAAATGTTTGCTCAAGCATTGTAATTTAGATTGACATCTGCAATCAATAGATAGGCGGGGCTTCAGCTTGTATACATTATGTAAATTAAACTTATATGTTATTAGATGTTAAGTAAAATGCAGAGTATAATGTATACAAAATGAAGCTCAGCCTATCTTAATTACAATGCTTGAGCAAACATTTAAACAAACAAAGCAAGCAAGCCAACCAAACCTTTAAACTACAAACATTAGGAAAATAGCTCTAAGAGAAAAGAAAGTTATAGGCCTATAGAAGCAAATAACAGGAGTTGAAACAGAGTAAAGCTGGTCTTGAGACCAACAAACTCCAGAAACTCCTCTTGGGTTTGAGCAGAACTTGTTTACTAAAATACCACAATTTACTTAAAACTTTTACTAAATGCTTTCAAATACAAAAGATTTGGTTTGGAAGTTTGGTTGTAAATTTTGTACCTGTATATACCTTATTACAAAAGGGATATCAATTCCTTATTTTTTCAGCAATATTGTTTATGGAGCCCTAAATTTAGATACAGTCCATGTACTTATGGATCCTTTGACTAAACTTATTCTGAAAGGTTATAACATTATCACTGAAGTATGATCAATTAATAATTTCTTCATTGGTTCTTACATTGATTTTATTTTTTTATTTTTAAAACATAACTAAATATGACTAGATATAAGAAGATGTGGTATGAGTGCCAATGAGACAACTCTCCATCCAAGTCAAAATTTATAAAAGTAAACCATTATAGGTCAAAGTACGGTCTTCAACACCGAGCCTTGGCTCACACCGGATAGCAAGCTATAAAGGGCCCCAAAAATTACTAGTGTAAAACCATTCAAACGGGAAAACCAACAGTCTTATCTATATAAATAAAATGCTCCGCTGGGGCGCAGCTTGATACGACCGCAGAGGTCGAACCCTGAACAGTTGGGGCAAGTATGGACACAACATTCAAGCTTGATACAGCACTGAATTTGGATTGTAATTAAATATTTGACACAGCATAGGTTTCTCACACAGAATGAAAGTGGTCTAAGAACTTAAAAATTTTAAATTTACCTATTCAAACCATATCATTATTATTTGCTTTTATATATAAATCAGAAATAACCAATTTAAAATGGAAAATTTTAAAGAAAAAAAAGGAAAAAAAAATCCCTCCCAAAATTTTTTGAGCCCCCTTATGATTCATCACCCCCAAACTCAATCCCAGCTTTCCCTTTGTGGTATGGTACCTTGCAGTACAATTTCAGAGAGATCCATACACTTGAACACAAGTTATTGTCTGGAAACTAGAAAAATGCTTGTTTTTTGGCCCCTTTTTGGCCCCAAATTCCTAAACGTTTAGGGCAATTACCCCCAAACTCAAACCAAGCTTTCCCTTTGTGATATGGAACCTTGCAGTACAATTTCATAAAGATCCATACACTTACACACAAGTTATTGTCCTGAAACTAGAAAAATGCTTGTTTTTTTACCCTTTTATGGTCCCAAATTACTAAAATTTTGAGGGAATTACCCCCTAAATCAATCCCAGCCTTCCCTTTGTGGTATGGTACCTTGAAGTACAATTTCAGAGAGATCCATACACTTGAACACAAGTTATTGTCTGGAAACTAGAAAAATGCTTATTTTTGGCCCCTTTTTGGCCCCTTATTCCTAAACTTTTTGGGCAATTACCCCCAAACTCAATTCCAGCTTTCCCTTTGTGATATGGAACCTTGTAGTACAATTTCATAAAGATCCATACACTTACACACAAGTAATTGTCATGAAACTAGAAAAATGCTTGTTTTTTGCCCCTTTTTGGCCCCTAATTCCTAAAATTTGGAGGCAATTACCCCCAAAATCAATTACAGCATTCCCTTTGTGATATTGAACCTTGTGATACAATGTCAGAGAGATCCATACACTTACACACAAGTTATTGTCATGAAACTAGAAAAATGCTTGTTTTTTGCCCCTTTTTGGCCCCTAATTCCTAAAATTTGGAGGCAATTACCCCCAAAATCAATCCCAGCATTCCCTTTGTGATATGGAACCTTGTGGTACAATGTCAGAGAGATCCATACACTTACACACAAGTTATGTCTGGAAGTTACAAAAATGCTTATTTTTGGCCCCTAATTCCTTAACTGTTGGTACCATAACCTCCAAAATCAATCCCCACCTTCCTTTTGTGGTATTGAACCTTATGTTAAAATTTCATTAAGATCCATTCACTTGAACTAAAGTTAGAGTGCGAAAACTAATGTGTCTTCGGACGATGACGACGACGACGCCAACGTCATACCAATATACGACCACAAAAATTTTTTGCGGTCGTATAAAAACGAGAAACGAGAAACACGAAACACTTATGAACCACATCAACAAACGACAATTACTGAACATCAGATTCCTGTAACTGTATGGTTATAAAATTATAAACAATTTTGGTCTTACATCTTGTCGATACTTATATTTTGACATTGCACAAGGTCATGCCTTTTCAGACTGTTTATAGAGTTTTTACACTAAATCCATTGGATGTGAACTAAATGATTCTATCTTTCAGTAACTGTAAATACTCTTATTTAGATACCTTGAGTTTTCTGTCATTTTGGGTTTTTTTTTGTAATAAGAGCCTTTTCCAACTGATTTTTAGCTTGTTCTCATGTTGTGCTGCTTTCTTTTTTAAATTGTTTCATATTCTATTGTACTGGGGCCTTTAATAGCTTACTACAAGGTATGGGTTTTGTTCATTGTTGAAGCCTGTACAGTCATGACAGTACTCTATATGTTTTATGAACATAAATATTATATAAAAAAGTGTTAATTTTCTGAATTATGGATAAGTAAATAGTTGACTTAAGTTTATTTTTTTCTAGATTAATCTTCAGGAAGAAAACAATAAGCTATATATAAGTTTAAAAAATAAAACCTGCATTTCCTCTTTATACGGGTATCTAAATGCCCTGAGTTGTCTGAGTTGTCTCCTATTTGGGGTCATGAGTCATGACACTCCAACTTTAATGGTCAAACTTAGTTTATATCTGAATCATATCATAAAAGTACCTAAATATGGTGTATTTTGTCGCCATTTTTTAAAAATAATTCACTTATATGCAAATAAGGCTGTTTAATGGAAAATAGTACAAATTAACAAAAAAAATTGTATCTTAACTCCTGAATACCCAAAGTTTTTGGAAATATATATAATTTTGCAAAGTTTTAACTACCAATTTGGACGAATTTGGGGATTTTGCATGGTTTTATGGCAGACTGGCTCTTAAATAGTATTTTTTGTTTTCAACAGGAAAAAGGAGGGGGTATATCTGGCTTTGGGTGTGTATATTGCGACTTCTCCTTGCAAATGCAGTTGATAGCAATTTGAGTGGTTTGATAATTTATTATTTATTGAAAGATAGTACATTTTGCACATCATTTGTACATGATGAAAGTCAATATAAGATTGGTCTCTTCTTCTTCAATCACAAAAGTCACATATGATAATTTGATCTATTTTGTAGTTTTCCTTTGCATCTCTGTAATTTCAGTTATTCTACATAATATACTGTCTATAACATCAAATGTATTCAAAGCTGACTCAACAATTTGTACTTGCTGGCTGACCGGAACACGAGGCATTGCAACACCACCTACTGTCAAACCTAAATCAACATTACCTCCCTTGTCCTTCTTCTGCCCATCTTTTAGATCTTGTAAATCTAATTGATAATGACCTTTAGATAAATCCAGAGCAAGTCGTAGAGGTTCAAAAAAGTGTTTCTCAATTTGACCAATAAAATCCCATATTTTTGTGACATTTTCACCTGGCGGATCTCGTAATAACAAGTAACGAAAACAATTCAACAAAGCAATAACCCTGTCTGAAATTTGTAGTATATCTTGTGTAGCACCTTCTTCAACAATGGCTACAATTTTCAATAACTTATAAAGATTTGCACCAAAAAATGTAAGGTCATCTAATTTGTTCTTCAATACGGAATCGATTTGATCTTTCAATAACTGAATGGTGTAGCCAACCAAACCAGCATGTGGACAAGTATTTAGTACCATTTCATAAATCTTATATCTAGCAGGCAGGCAAAACATGCATATAAAGATTCTATATAACTGAACACATTCCTGGCGTAATTCTTTCACTGGATTCTGTATCATGATATCTATCAAAGCATTGACAACTTGTTTATATTTATCATTGTCAAGGTCATTCAATGACAGAGTAGTGACTGGTATTTTTCCCATGAGGCTTTGTAGCAGATACACTCCTTTGAATTTGACCAATGAATGATCAGCTTTTAACAATAACAGAATATAATGTAAACTTGACTGTAGAATATGAGGATGTCTGTAAATGAATGGGATACTATCCACGGCCAGATCTTCTCTAAAAATAAGATAAGATAAACATGCGTAGCTGTATTCTGAAACTAACTCTCCTTCAACTACATTCCCAAAAGTACCTGTATCTTCATCTGAAGTGTCATCCTCTGCTTTATAAGGTTCTTTCAATTTTTTGGCCGACTTCTTTTTCTTTGGGAGCTGCCCATTTTGCAACATTTTAAATAAATCTGGACAAAGTTCTGTTATGAGTTCAACTAACTGTTCTGTGCAGACTCTCCCATACGTTTTTTCCTGATCTTCCATTTGTTTGCGATGAAAAACAAGATCAAGAAACATAAGAGGATGATCAAGCATAGAAAGCAGACGATCCATCAGCATTCCTATCTGTTTTTTACCTTTCTCTCTATCAGCATCTGGATTCTTCAAAGATACTTCCTTAACAAATGGTTGAAGGAATTCTAAATATGCTAAAATAACATCTGTAATTCTCCTTACATCTCTATCCAGTTCTAACAATTTTCTCTCGTCTTTCTCAAGCTGATGGTCTGCAGGAGTAGGCAATTCTATAACATGAGCATGTACAGTTTCAAGGGTAATCTCTAAAGATTCTGTTCTCTTTGAAGGCAACTTCATTAAAGTCTGCTGTATGTACACTAACAAAGCCTTAAACTTCTCATCATCTTTAAAAGTATCCATTTGTTCAAGAAGTGCAATTATAAGCTCTTTTGGGTTTCCACGTTTTACGATGTAATTCATGCACCTCTCACATGCCTCGAAAAATATGGGCGCATTTTTAGAATTTTCTTCTGTGAGACTTTTGGCAAGTTCTCCAGCTAGTTCATAAAATATTGATTCATCAGAAAGTTTTCTCTCCAAAATAAACATCTTCAAACTTTGTGCATCCTTGTACTTGAGACTTTCCTTGATGTTCTCTAGAACTGACCCTGCCTCTAAATCTCCACCATACATGTCAAAATCTGTTGTATCCATGGTTACAATTTGTTACACAAATTCCTGAAAAACAAAAAGAGAAGTTTTGCTGGTATTTTTTTTATTTATAATTTGACTTTCATAACAAATATTATAAAAATATAAATTTTCTTTCTCAAAATATAAAACTAACTTGACTGTGTTCATATATAGAGGTATTCATTTTTGAAAACAAGCCTTTTTGTACACAATCAATTTATTTCATCACACGATTTTAAATTAAATGTTATCAGATCCCACATCCTAATGACAGGTTAAAATCAACCAATCAATATTTAATTAATATACACCAACACCAGCATAACATTCTCTTTTTGTTTGAACATAGTAGATCATGTATATTTTAAGGAAATAACAGGCCAATCTATTTTTATTTTTCAAACATACAATAGCATATGTGTCCTGGAAAAATATGAACATTGACAATTTGGTTTAATCAAAAGCATAATAAAAATCTATGTACCTATGATTAGTAAATATTTAATTTTATGCAGTTCAATAAGCAATCTTTGAACAATTTTTAGTAATGTTACTTATTAATGAATTTCAAATGATTATAAAGAACTTCTGCTAGGCCAGTCTACCTGCTCAAAGAATTGCAGTCATTTTACCAATCTAAATCAAACCAAAAAGAATTATCACTGTGCATTTGTATTAACATTGCTTTAATGATTAATAATTTTATTATTTCAAAATCACGATTATCATGATTATTACTGTTTTACTACTGTCATCCTGATTTTTTCTTTCTTTTTAGGACAAAATAAATGATAATTGTTTAAACAGGGTTTCCCTAACTACTCTGTTTTTTTGCCTCCAAATTCCTTCCCTAAATATTTAGTGGAACTTAACAAAATTGCAGGTGGTCCCCATATACTCAAGGTAAAAAAATTGGGCAAAATAATAACATTTTGTAACTATACTAGTAATATTTAGAGCCAAAAATGAAAGGAATAAACCCTAAATACACCTGTTTTATTTTGTGATTGACCTAATAACGGGGCTCACGCTATCAGGCGACTAGGGCGATAAAATCGCTTTCCCGTCCGTCACTTTGCTTGACCGTCAAAAGCGATATCTAGTCGTCCTGTTGTTCACCATACTCGCTTTCATCATCTTCTGGTTAGGATGGCAATCTTGTACAAAGCAGGGTTCAAAATGCATATCATAATACCATGCTCTTTTTCTAAATATGCATTTAACTTGCCACTGGACATTAAGCAGTCAATCATCCATTTTGTTGTCCATCATCATAACAGGGTTGAACTATAACATGGGCAATTGAGATTGTGGGCGAGCATATCAGAATTCCTATTTAACGCCTATAATCATTATTTATAAGCCTGGTATTTTGGGTGTTAAATATATATAACTCATTAGTATAAAACCTACAATGCCAATGGCTACATTTGAAAACGAGATCTCAAATAATCACTACATGATACACATCATAATTTGTAAACAAACTTTATCTATCAGTAGCTGATTACAAATATTAATGAAGAGATATTTATACACTAAAAATATATCTTGATATGAACTGAAAAATCATGCCGGTATATCGTAAATTACTAATACGTCTGAAAAGTCAAAAGGGACCGGCTAAAAAATAGTTTACACATTTTTAAGTGAACTATGACACTTTCTTAATAAAAAAAAATAGTGTCATTTGAAACCTGTGAATACATATTCACTTACATATTCTCTTAAAAAAGATACCAGATAAGGTTTTGCTGCAGCTTGCACATGCCATTATTTTTTTTTAAACAATTATAAAGAGTGCTCTCCCTTCAAATATAAATCCCGATGGACTCGGAATAGATTTGTGTTGTTTCCGTGTCCAATAATTTGTCAGTTTGAAATTCCGGGAGTCTATAAATACATTGAAATTCAGCAGTCTACCTATTTCTATTTTCCCTAATGTTATTGTATTTTAATTATATATATATGTACTCTTTTGAAACGAATCTACATCTACACTGGGAATAGTATACTTACATATATGGCATACTATTCCCAGTGTAGATGTAGATTCGTTTCAAAAGAGTACGTATATATATATAATTAAAATATAATAAATATATAAAGTAGGAAAACTGACAATTCTGGTCAATTAAAATTGGAGTCGAGCGCACCTGCAACGTGCGGGATTCAAACTCACAACCTCACTGTTGGCAGGCCAGCCCAGTGATACAGTCGAGACCAATTGTCATTATGAAAATGTTGTTATCCAGAATTTCAGCATTAAACATTTACTAGTTTTTAGAATAACCAGAAATGTATATAAGCTGCCAATTTCTGGTATCAAATGTCTAAGGAATAACTTTAATTACTTTTGGCTTCATTAAAGACTGTGATAATAATATATATTTAGTTTGGCCGAAAACATAAATCTTTACATGTCATAACAATAATATAAAGAACAAATACAAATACATATACACTGAATCAGAGACATATATACATATATGTCTCTGACTGAATACTTAGTCTAATACTTATTAAGTTATAGCAAGGAAAATCATGACATGTACTGGCGGGCCACAAAAATTAAATATCCGCCAAACAAAACCAAATAAGTCAAAGGAGAGGTTGAGCCCAAGAGATGGAACACTCTCTTGAAAGTTCAACTCCAAGCAGAAAGAATAAACCACTTCTTCAGCTGCTAGATCTACTAAGGAGATGCTCACGTAAATCTCTCCTAAAAGTAGAGTATCTTAAAGAGGCATATATTAATGAATCCAAAGGATGAAACACTCCCTTGAAAATTCCAAAAACCTAAGGAATAAAACACTTCCTTTAGGCTAGTATCTACAACTAAACAAAAAATTACAACATACATAACGACAAGATACACAATAATAAATTATTTACATATGATTCAGTAATAGCATGCTGAAAACACTTGCGCAATTCGTATTGTAGTTCGACTATTTAGACCACTCGGCCACCGAGGCCCTCAACTTGCAATTGTCATTATGAAAATGGTGTTATCTAGAATTTCAGCATTAAACATTTACTAGTTTTAAGAATAACCAGAGACATATGTATATAAGCTGCCAATCTCTGGTATCAAATGTGTAAGGAATAACTTTGATTCAATAAATTCAACACCAGTTCTTCTTTTTCGATGTATGTAGTCGTTAAACCCAATTTCTGAGTAACCAATTCGTTTTGCAGTTAAAGAGAAACACAAAATAAAACAACTCTATATGAAACAATCAAAAATGTAACAGAAACTTTAATTCAAATACATATTGAGATACACCAGAATTTTATGGATATAAAGAAATCGTTGATTGCAACACGATGAAGACATGCATGTTGATGAAGACACAGTAAAAAATAGAATACTGTACATATCTAGAAAAGAACATTCATAAAAGATGCAACTCCCCCCTTACATATATACAGAAATACATAAAAATATAATTCATTTAATTCTCTACATATTTTTATTAATTGAATAAATGTGTTAGGATGGCCCTGAGATAGCTTTGTTTTACATCCTAAGACATGTTTCAGACACGTCCTAAGACCATATCCTAAATAATGTCCTAAGGACAATTTCGCCGGTTAGTTCGTATTTAAGACTTCGATTGGTATATATGATGTTAAAAATACATATTAAAAAACAATATTTCACGTACTTCTTATCTAGAATTAAAATGCATGTTCGTTCTTTATTATATATATAATTTGTCCGTAGGCTACCTTTTTATGCTCGATTTGAGCTCTAATATTTATTGTTCAACAAGGCTGTGGTCAAATAAATTATGTGAGTAGTGTTAGAGCCGAGGGTGTGTTTTGTTTTGTGGATTCTCATTGGTTTGAAGTTTTGTTACCCTTAATTTTTGGCCAGTGGAAAACTTCCCGCCGACGTGTTTCAAATAGCACTTTGTCTTCAGACGAACAAGTTGGACATAATTTACAGAACCAAAAGATTTGATGTGAACTTTGAAGCTGTTCGTGATCCACACATACACAAGGTAGATATTTACCCCTTGATATTTTCCCATATTATTTTCGTTATATGGATCATAACACGACATTTTAAATCTTTTCTCATGAATTTTGTATATGATACAGAAGACCATCTGACCGTTGAATTTTCGATGAAGTTGTGACTTAAATATAATATGCACTCATTCAATATGGAAAGAAAAAAATATGCCTTCATGGCTCGATATAAGTTTCAGTATATGATTTCGAATTTTTGAGGTAAAGACGCAAACTTTCAGATTCCATTCTTAAAAATACTAAACAAAAGTATATATCATTTTATAATGATTTTCGTTCTCATATTAGCGACAAATTAATCTTTAATATTCTATTTACTTATTTATTTGTATTTCAAATTTCCAAAAAAAAACAGCAACTGATGAAATTTTAGAAGCGGGCTAGTGTTCACTTTTTTTAGACACTGACGGAATAAATAAAAGTAAATAAACGGTAGAAAGAAAGAAAAGGTTGAGCTTGCAACAGTTATTAAAAAAAAAACAAGAGCCTGTGTCGATGCCGGCTGTCAAATTAACTTTGCAATAGCAAATATCTTGATATTTGTAAAGTAGCACCAACTTAGAAATATGTAGTCATTACCGTGATTACGAGATTCATTAATACAGATATCATTTTTTTTTTTGCTCAACTATCGATAGAGGGTGGTGAAGAATCCAGGTCCTATTAATTGCCGGAATTTGCGATATGGTACAAAGTTTTAAAAAAAAATCACCCGCCCGGGAATTCACCATATTGAAAATTCTGTGTGCGGATGTCCCTTCCCAAAACCCCCATTTTGTCTATTGTTTATCAAGTTTCTGACAGTTGATCGTCATGAATATGCGCATTGAAAGTCATGCAAGCCGAAGGAATAATCAATCTATTTTTAAAAATTAAAATCGAATGAACTTTTGTCAGTGGTCAAGGTCAAAGTAAGCGGAAGATACTTTTATCCGAGATTTTAATCTTTTTTAAATTTGAACGGAATTCACGATTTGAGTTTGCAATTCCTTCACAAATGTTACGTTGAGCATCGAAAGAACAGTAAAAATACCAGTAAGTTAATATCAAGTTTCGTTGATATTTTTTCAGCTATTGGCCATAAACAAGAGAAACAACATTTTAGAATCTGAAAACAGACGAAACATATTATAACAATCGGTAAGTAAACATGTTTTCATACTTATCATACTTATTCTTAAAATGAACGAAAGTGACATTACAGGTATAAATGGGCAACAAATGGAGAGATGTCATCCTCCTCCCAAATTTAAAGGCCAAACGTTAAACTTATTCTTGTTCATTATAACCTGGGACTATTATACTAACGGGACTGGAAACTGATCGATCTGTTGAGATTTCATTGCCCCGATAGGCGGATTATTGATTTTTTGTTTTGATTGACAGCTTATCGTGTCACGTAGTAAATTAGCATTCGTTACATGAATAGTTAGTATAATAGTCCCAGTTATAACCTTTTAGCAAATATAGCCATATTTAGACCACAAATTTCACTCAGGGTACAGACAATCCTGTGCATCTGAGGTTTTAGAGCATGGCTGGACCTAAAGATATATAAAATGTTAATGCGTTTTAAGGTTTAGGATATTAAAAACTTAACTGGATTTAACCAAGGATTTGTATAGTAAGTCTTGTCTTACTATACAAATCCTTGATTTAGCTATTCATTTTTTTCCATTCCTGAAGAAGTGCTAAAATAAACCTGGGACTATTATACTAACTGTAATATTTTTTTTGTTTTTCCTTAATATGTGAATTATTTCCCCTTACTTAATGTGTTCCAGCTCCTATGCATTCATATTCTAGGAAATTAAGAATATAAGAGCACCCACTCTATGTAAACTGATGTTGTAATAGCATATTATGAGAACAAAAACACATTGAAGAAAGGAAAATAAGTAAAAATTCTACTAAAAAAAATAACACAAAAAATATTAAGAAAAAGGGTCTTAAAGCGCCTGTGAATAAACAAACATAAACTTTACATATGGTCTAGCTAGTTTGAGCCTGTTGGCACTGCTACTTGTATTTCAGATTATGATATTATATTAATTTAGATCTTCATTCACCCTGTTTTAGCTCACATTGTGAAAATATTTTGCGTCATTGAAAAATCTTTGAAATACCTGCATGGATACTGATTTTTATGGCCCTGCTGACTTAGGTTGGGGTCTTATAGTGTTACTCTCATCTGTCTTTTTGTCACCCTGTCATTCTGTCATTCTGCAATTAACAGTTATACAGACTTTTTTTTATAAATGCCTTCACATATTGAGCTGATTTTTGTTGAGCCTGCGACTTTTGTGACTTTTGTCGCAGAAAGCTCGACATAGGGATAGTGATCCGGCGGCTGCGTTAGCTAACTTCTTAAAAGCTTTATATTTTAGAAGGTGGAAGGTCTGGATGCTTCATACTTTGTATATGGATGCCTCATGTTACGAAGTTTCCGTCAGTCACATGTCCAATGTCCCTGACCTCATTTTCATGGTTCAGTGACTACTTGAAAAAAATGTTAAGTTTTTTTGTCATGTTAAATTCTCTCTTATTATAAGTAATAGGATAACTATATTTGGTATGTGCGTACCTTGCAAGGTCCTCATGCCCGTCAGACAGTTTTCACTTGACCTCGACCTCATTTCATGGATCAGTGAACAAGGTTAAGTTTTGGTGGTCAAGTCCATATCTCAGATACTATAAGCAATAGGTCTAGTATATTCAGTGTATGGAAGGACTGTAAGGTGTACATGTCCAATTGGCAGGTG